TTGAATTTAACATGACTTAATTACAAAAATGCCTTCTTATTCACACACACACACACACACAAATAAAAGGCTCTTATCAAAAGTTCCTCTCAAGGCTTTCAATACATAAAAAAAAACAAAACCAGTGTCAGAGTCCATCGATTTTTAGATAACAATGAGACTGCACTTCTCTGTGCTGACCTGAAAATGTCTGTCACAAATCTTTTTAGCTGTATGACTTTTTTTTCTTTTATTTGCATTGTTTTTAGTCTTTTTTGGGTGGACAGGAAGTCATGGGTATGAAACTTTAGAAAGGCAGGGCTACCTCCACGATAAGCCCGTTTCTGACACTTCTCTGTGCGTCTGGGACGAAACGCAGACATAAAACAAGAGTACTCGTGCAAGCTGTAAACTCTCGCAGAAGCACAAAGATTATCCACACAAACATATAATAAAGTGGAGAAACATGAATAAAAAATGTGAGTGCTTAAGCAGGCCAGAGGAGTAAAAAGTTTGGCAGCTTCTGCGCAGTCAGCGTGTCTGTGTAATGTGAGCGCTGGCAACAATGACAGTGTCTCGACTGAAACTCGACCGCAGCTCAGCAACAGACACTCAATCAAAACACTGTGAGGCAACACAGACAGGAAACAGACCGAGCTTACTGGAGAGCATGCAGCACTCTATAAGACAAATACCTAGAAAGGTGCAGACACCCATGTCAGGAAAAGAACAAGAAAAAAAAATCTACCCTTGCTAAGTCTAAAAACTGAATATTATGTGGCAGAGGAAGTATTTTGGCTCGAAGCTAAAGTTTGAAGACTGGAGGCCACTTTAAACTAAAGTTTTATTCTTTGGGAGCTGAGAGGGACTTTAATAAATGATCCTTTAAATTCTGCTAATATTATGGAACATCTAACTCTTTGGGCTGTGTCCACAGCAGAAAGAAACTAATTAATTTCAATTCAGTTTATTTATACAGCGTCAAGTCACAACAGAAGTCATCTCAGGGCACTGAACAGAAACATTCATATATAAAAAATAATAATAATTTAACATTATTTATCTGAGGAGCAGACTGCTTTGAGTTTAACTTCATCACAGACTCTCATCTTGAGCAAACGTGAAGGCGACAGTGGAAAGGAAAAACTCCCTCATAAGGAAGAAACCTTTAGCAGAACCAGGATCAGGACAAGCGGCCATCTGCTTCGACCGGCTGGGTTGGAGAGGAACAGATACACAATGGCAGGTCAAGAACCACATGTTACGATGGAAATAGTATCAAATGAAAACTATTCAATTTTAACAATTCATTTAAGGAAATGAGGTCAATTTGTCCTCTAGTAGTCTAAGAGTATAGCAGCATAACAAGCCAACCCTAATTATAGGATTTATCAAGTTCTAGTTCAAGTCAACTTCATTGTCATTTCCATCACATGTGGTACATGAGGTGGAACAAAATTAGGTACACAGGGTCCCAGTAAGGCTCTATCCACTGACATACTCTAAACAAATACCAAACGGTACGCTAAAGATCTAAGATATACGTTAAACACCAATAATGAAAAACAATACGGCATAACAACAGCAGCGC